TTTCGCGATTTTTCCAGTTTTTCATGTACCTGAAGTTCCGAACGTTCATTTATGAACGAAAATCAAAAAAAAATTTTTTTTGCTCCTGAAACTGAAAATGGTTTTTCAGTTTCGAATAGAGACAGTGAGCCCTAAAAATGATATATTAGCTCCTCAAAACACAAAAACCACCCCTCCAGCCACCCCAAAAACTTACACTTGGAAAAAACAATTTAAGATAAAAAGAAAAATTCTAGAGCAACTTTGAAGATTTTTTTTTAAATTCACACATTTTACCTTTTTATAATTTATACCGTAAATCTGCCATTAAATATATTGTTACGTCATGGCTTACAACGATAGTTTCTTTTATTTTAATGACTTTTTTTTAAAATACATTTTTTTTTATGGTTTCTTCGAATTTTATTTCAAAGCATAAAATTCGAGAAACATTTAACGAGAAAAACATTAAGTATCTCGTCCGGTCTCTCTAAAAATTTTCCCGACGTTAGAAAAATGAATGCTTTGAAAAGATTAAAATCCTAAGTACACAAATAAATGGGAGTTTTATTGCCCTTAGTTTCAATGGCATCACTGACAAAGTCTGGGAAAGTTTTTAGTTTGTTTTAAATAAGATAAACTTAGAAAAAAAACCCTAAGTAAAATATAAAGATTAAAAAAATAGAAAAAGATTAGATAATAAATAATTTTAGAAATAAAATAGTTAAATAACAAATAACAATATAACGAATAATAGTAAATAATATAATGTAACGTAAATTAAAAATAATTTAAATAATTCTTTAAGGAAATAATAATTAAAATAATAATAAATTGGAAACAATTTAAACAATTCTTTAAAGAAAAATAACAATAAAAAAATGTTGAAGAAATAATAATTAAAATAATAATAATCTCTTTTGGGAACATTTTAAATAATTCTTTAAAAAAATTTAATATTTAAAACAATATAAAATTTTAAATAAACACAGAAGATTAATAATTAATTATTGATAATGAATTTATTATCAATAAATAATTGAATAAATAATTAATTAAGAAATAAATTAGTAATATTTATAAATAATATAAAAGATTTAGTTAAATAAGGAAACTATGTATTTGTGTGTATGTAAATGTACTTGCATGTAGACCAATACATAGGTACAAATAGCCTATAAGTAAGAGAGAGAGAGGCACATCATGCCTCTAGGCCCAAAGAAGGGAGTGCAAGCGAACATCTTCAGAATACCTGAAAGAGAGGGTAGAGTCTAAGGGAAATAGACAGCTAATTGGATACTGTTTTCCCCCAAATAGAAATTTGGAAACGCCCGAAGTTTCGAGGCCCAGAGATCCTCGCTTGGACTCTTCCTGGTAGTCCTGTTCTGTCTTGAAAGGAGATCAATTCTAGCTAGTAGATGGGTGGCACCTTCGTGCGGGAGTCTCATCAGAGACTCCCGTCGAGGAATCGCTAGGAAAATATTTCTCTAAGTTGCGGATCGCCTAAATCTTAGTTAGTGGCCGGTGTTTCTTCCACGTAAACTAAGAAGAATAATTTTAAAATAACAAAAGTAAATTTTGAATAAAATAAAATGTCGAAAAGAATAGGATAATATTATACAGTGTATGTGTGTGTCTACGACCAGGTATGATTAAATTGAAATATGTAAACTTAACTTGTAAATCTGTAACTTTAAACGTTTGTTAATATATGTTATTAAAATTTTAAATTCTGAAATTCATAATTAATTATATAAAAATATCTACAAAAGACAACCACACCGTTTTCTGACATCCTTCTGGGTTCCCGGTCTAGTGGTTGAAAAATTGAACCAGGACCAAAATAATTTAATAATTTATGTCCAAAGTTTGGACGTAACAATTTGGCGCTCGAACAGGGACCTGAAGAGTTAGTGGAAAAAAGTGTTGTTGTCTTACAAAAATGAAAGAAAAAATAATATGAAAAATTAATTATACAAAATTTTTTTTTTTTGAAATATAGTCTTGGAAAATTTAAATATTTAGAAATGTGAAATAATAATGAAAAATTTCTTGAATTCTTGTGAAATTAAAAGAAGTTGATAATTTTAGAGATTCTGAAAAGAAATTTTGAACTTTTGAAAATTCAGTTTAATAATTTAAATGAATTCTAAAAATTTCTTGAATTCTTGTAAAATTAAATAGAAAATAATAATTTTAGAGATTCTGAAAAGAAATTTTTGATTTTTTTTTGAGAATACAGTTTTTATAATTTTAAATAATGATTGAAAATTTCTTGAATTCTTGTGAAATAAAAATAAATTTTAGAGATTCTGAAAAGAAATTTGTAAACTTTTGAATATACAGTTTGAATAATTTTGAATAATGATTGAAAATTTTTTGAATTCTTGTGAAATTAAATAAAGTTAATAATTTTAGAGATTCTGAAGAGAAATTTTCGAATTTTTACAAAATACAATTTTAGTAAATTTAAATGATTTTTAAAAAAAGAATATTCTTGAATTCTTGTGAAATAAAAATGAAATTTTAGAGATTCTAAAAAGAATTTTATGCCAAATGAAAAAATCTTTTGTGTATGATTTATCAATTTATCATGAAATGTAATTTTCAGTTATTTATTCATGTAGTATTAAAGTTATTTCAAAATTTGGGAATTATAAATATTATCAGATCTGATTATGTATAGACTTATATATGTCTATAAATGGAGCTATAATAGCCGGGTATGATCATATCTAATTATATGTAGACATATATAATTAGATCTGATCATATATAGACTTATACATGATTATATATGAAGTTATAACAGCCAGGTATGATCGTATCTAATTATATATAGACTTATAAATGGTTATATATGGGGTTATCACAGCTAGGTATGATCAGATCTAATTATATATAGACATATATAATCAGATCTAATTATATATAGACATATATAATCAGATCTAATTATATATAGACATATATAATCAGATCTAATTATATATAGACATATATAATCAGATCTAATTATATATAGACATATATAATCAGATCTAATTATATATAGACATATATAATCAGATCTAATTATATATAGACATATATAATCAGATCTAATTATATATAGACATATATAATCAGATCTAATTATATATAGACATATATAATCAGATCTAATTATATATAGACATATATAATCAGATCTAATTATATATAGACATATATAATCAGATCTAATTATATATAGACATATATAATCAGATCTAATTATATATAGACATATATAATCAGATCTAATTATATATAGACATATATATAATCAGATCTGATCATATATAAACTCACATATGATTATATATGGGGTTATAACAACCAGGTATGATCAGATCTAATTATATATAGACATATATAATCAGATCTGATCATATAGACTCACATATGATTATATATGGGGTTATAACAACCAGGTATGATCAGATCTAATTATATATAGACATATATAATCAGATCTGATCATATAGACTCACATATGATTATATATGGGGTTATAACAACCAGGTATGATCAGATCTAATTATATATGAGCTTATATATAATCATGTATGATTATAAATGACCCCATTGTAATCAATTTTAATTAATTTACAAACATGTATGGAATTCACTCACATTCCATGCTTGTAAAGGTGGACCCTAGGATCTCCGCCGTCCATCTTACGGCATAATTAAACTCTACAACTTCGTCTGGACCGAACAAGTATTCCCTGAAGTTTGGAGAGAGGCAACAGTGGTCCCAATTCTCAAACCCAACAAAGACCCGTATAAAGCTACCAGCTACAGACCCATATCATTCACATGCAACATGTGTAAGATTTTGGAAAAAATGATAACGAAAACACTGAGATGGAAAATGAACAACGAGGAGTGGATAGACAATAACCAATATGGATTTTGCCACCACCGATCAACTACAGTCTACCTTGCTAACCTCGAAGCAGAAGTATGTGATGCCTTCATCAATAAACGACATCTAATTGTGACCTCACTTGACCTGGAAAAAGCGTATAAAATGGTCTGTAAGGAGAAAGTCATAGAAACACTCAAAGAAAATCAACTGACTGGTAATGCATTGGCTTTCTGCAAGAACTTCCTCAAACTTTGGAAAATTAGAGTAAGATATAACAATGCCTTCTCAGAACCAGTAGTTACTGAAAATGGAGTTCCTACAGGCTCCGTCCTCGGAGTAGTCCTATTTCTCGTAGCAATAAATAGTGTTTTAAAGCAAATTCTCCTACCACTGAAAGCCTACCTGTTCGCAGATGACCTCACAATAGCTTGCCCGGGAAAAGACCTAAATACCACCACCAGATTGATGCAGGATACACTGGATAGACTCACAGGCTGGTGCAACAACACTGGCTTCAGATTTTCCGCCGAAAAATCGCAGTATATGATCTTCTCCAGAGGCAACATCAAAGAAGACTACCCACTTTACCTGAACAACAAACCAATCTCCAAAACAGACTCAATAAAAATTCTTGGGCTCATTTGGGACAGCAAACTCACCTGGCAACCACACATCACCCAGTTAAGAGCAGACTACCAAAGACGAATGAATATCGTTAAAGTTTTAGCATCCACACAATAGGGTGCTTCAGCTGAAGTCCTATGCAACACCTATAAAGCACTAATAAGACCCAAACTGGGATACGGAGCAGAGATCTACGGCTCCGCTTCCAATTCCAGCCTAAAGACTCTTGAACCCGTCCAAACCACTGGACTCAGAATGGCACTGGGAGCATTCAGAACCAGCCCAACAAATCGCATCCTGGTAGAATCGAACGAACTACCATTAAATATTAGAAGAAACCAACAGACCATACTATATGCAATGAAAGCTCATTCCTCAGGATCAAACTTACTGTCTCACAACAGCTACTTGGACCAGGAGTACACAAACCATCCTAACTATCCCAAACCGCTACGCTTGAGACTTAAATCCTATCTAGCAATACTAAACTTTTCCCTCCCAGGCATGTACAAAAGAACAATCCATCCAGTACCACCTTGGGAAACCATTAAAATCAACACAAACTGGAACTTGGCAGAAAGAGATAAAAAAATCACAACTGCAAGGAACTATCAATCATTGTTCCATGAAACTAAAGCAAACTACCCGCACCACCTAGAAATTTACACTGATGGCTCCAAGAAGGACAACAAAGCAGGCTGTGCCTTATTCTCTGAAGATACGACAGAAATACACAAACTACCTGATGCATACTCAGTCTTCTCTTGCGAACTATTCGCTATCTGGAAAACCCTACAACTGGCCAAGGAAAATCTCACTGACCAAAACTTGGTCATTTATACTGACTCCAGCTCTAGTATCCGAGCAATTGAAGACCCAAGATCAACTAACCCCATCGTACAGGAAATTCACCTTCTGCTATATCAACTACAACCTACAGAAGTAAACTTTGTGTGGATACCATCTCATCAAGGCATTCCAGGCAACGAGAGAGTCGACGAGCTTGCAAAAGAAGCCACCACCAGACACCACATCAACCCCGAAGCGTTGCTACCATGGGAAGACGCAAAGAAATCACTGGAAAAATCTGTACTCGCTTACTGGAACAAGAAAAACCCCTCTCATCTAATCCCAGACAGTCTATCAAATCTGCTCACTCAACTACCATGAAAAGAACAGGTCAAGATTACTAGACTAAAAGTTGGTCACACCAAACTAACACACGCTTATCTCCTCGAAAAAAGTATACAACCCACCTGCCCTACTTGTAACGTCCCACTGACAGTCGAGCACATCCTAATAACCTGCATCTCCCTCTGTGAACAGAGGAATAAAAACCGGCTACCAAAAGAACTTAACAACATCTTCCAGTCCACTAACGGAATCAGATCACTAATCAACTTCTTGAAGAATACGAAACTAATTAACCAAATATAATGTTTTCTAATAATAATTAATTTTTTGTTATTGTAAAAATCTATGTAGTCGCTCATGACCATTGCAGTTGTATAGCGACTTTAAATAATTTAAATAAAAAAAAAAAAAAAAATATTTAACAAATTGTAATAAATTATTATTAAATAATATTAGCTATTACGTTCCATCTTACATCAGTTCTAGAGACCATCATAAAAACATTCTCTTCACTCAGCAAGAACTCATAACAGAATAATGAAGTATATTGAGTTAAATCATTGATAAGTTAAAATAATAAATTTTGTTCAATTATTAATTAATTAATTAATTATTTTTTTCCTCCTATTCGGCTCTCTGTAACTTCACTTCTGTTGAGTTTAGAAAAAAAATGGACATCTACAATTTTGTAGAGAATTAAATTTTCTGTAAGATAGTTAAGAGCAAAATTAAAAATAAATTTTATTGATGTAGTTATTTTAAAAATGGAAAAAGAAATTTTACTATGTTATTTAAATGAGAAAGGAGACCCCCCTTGCGCCAACTCAATTTTTAAGATATTAGGCTTAAACTTTAGGAGAATTTTTTTTTATATTGAAACTTTTAAGATATCGATACTGCCATTCTAATACATCGTATCCCACATTTAGAAAATTTATCAGCAGACGGTAAAAACGATTCATTTTTAACATTCATTAAATATGATTCGACTGACGAAAATATTTATTTAAAAATAGTTATTAAACTATTTGACCTTTAAAATTTTAATACGCCTTGCATATTATTGTTGATTCTATTTTTCAAAAAAAGTCAATTTGTCAAATTTTGTGGGATACGACACATTAGAAAGGCAGCATCGATATATGTTGAATCGAAAAAAAAGAAAAGTTATTTTAACGCAGTATAATATACATTTTGGTATTGAGAAGGATTCAGAAAAATTTACAAACTTGAATTCATATTAATTAATTTCAAGTCAACGCATAATCGGAAATGTAGAACTTTTTTAGTATTGAGAAGGATTCAGAAAGATTGAAAACTGTTAATACATTTGAATCTTTTTCAATCCTACTCACAACCTGAAATGCGGAACTTTTTAGTAGATTTCATAAAAATCTAACTATTGTATTTGTCCTCATGACGTAATTTTCCGTTAATTTTACTATATTTCGACCTAACTCGACAATCTGAGTCAGAAAATACATATGGTTCAAAAGTTTATATATGTATATATGGGGTATTCCATGCCAAATCGACCACTTTTGAACCCGACCCCTTTAGATTCAGCTGAAACTTTACCGTTCTTTTCTACCCTTTGAAAGACATTTTTGAGAATTTTTTCAAATTTTTTTATCTAACCCAAAAAAAGTTATGAATTTTTCAAAAAAATGGCTTTTTTATTTTCAAATAGCCATAACTTTTTTAAAAATTGACTTTTGGGTACCTTTTTTTTAAAAAATTTTTGTTTTTGAATGAACTTTTCGAAAAAATATACGAAAAAAATTTAACATGATCAATTATATAAAATAATCGGTTTTTTTTAAGTAAAATCGTCATTTTTCCGAAGTCCGCCATTTTCTTTTTTTTTTT